CACGATGAGATGATCTAATTATTGATTATCAAAGCGATTATCATCAATAAAAAAAGATATGTATAAGTTGGGATGAAGTTACTCCAGCAAACAATCGCGATTCTTATCGAAATGATCGATTATTTTGATCATTTTTGCAATGTGGTGATCGATCACGAATGCCAGGTAAATTGCGAAATTATCCACGTACTTGAGATTTATTTTTGGCATGTGATATGAAAATTAACTTTATAATGAGTAAAGTTGTTTACCGATTGTACGATCGGTGAAATTTTCCGAAATTATGCTATAAATTTAGAAACCAAACGGATATATATCGTCATGATCAGTAAACATAATAATAACATAAAGTAAACCTTTAAAGGAATCGTTAATCCCATAAAAAAAAAAAGCAAATATTGACGGTTCTCTGCTAAATATGAAATTTAAACTGTTTGAAAAATTCAAATCGAATTTAATTACAACGATTGGTTAAGTTATATATAACTCCTCCCTACATTAACTTCTTCAGCCAATCAGGCGATGGTTCATCCAATCAATCATTGTTTAAACTTTTGAAAATTTATATCTTCCATATAAAGCAGAAGACGACTTATTTTAAGCGATTTCTTTTTAATATTTAGTTATGTTTCTTTAATTTTTAAATTAATCATTAATTTAAACTTTGTAATTAATAAAAATTTAGAAACTAAATTTATGATTGGAATGTAGTTGACTGAGCAGATTAATAAAATCGATCCCGATCGCGTGGATAATTTACAGACTTATTGATCTAGAAAGGTGTTTCTCTTTATATTCTAAAGTGACTTCTTTCGTCTAAAAATACTTCTTTGTAAACGCCATTTCTAGTTACCTGGCGGACAGTAAATTTCCGGAATTATAAATTATAAAGAGGGCGTTTAATTCGTAAAACAAAATTGCGCGCTAGAAGAGTACTTCCGGTGATGAAATGTCGTTGCGAGAACTATTTCCTGTCTATGGTTAGAATAGAGAACGTCACGTGTTAAGTTCACTCAAGGACGTCACGGTGATTACTTTTGTAAACCTTTTAAGCTGCGTCAATAATACGAGAAACACAACCATAAAAATAATAATAGAAAAAGTAATTTGGTGTTTAAATGGGGTGTTAATTATATATTTCTTTATTCGCCAGATGTTTCCTTAGAATAATAATAATGGCGAATTATTTGTGGAGTGTCGCGTAGAGGCCATTGCGACATCAAAAATAAATTTAATACGTGTTTATTCTATTTAGAATGCAAATTTCTGCGTTTTTTTTAACATGAATTTTAATGTGTTTTGATAAATTATCGCTAGATAACCGCGTACTGTAAGCGACGCGATACTTAGCGATTGTGACGGGATGAGCCGAGTGTTTACAGATTGCGTTGTGAGAATATAATGAAGTAACTTTCCGTCTCTCGAGAGTAACGTAATAATTCCATTTGCGTTTAACATAAACAATTCTATTAACGTTATCGATTAATTTATTCGCATTTCAGCGCGACGCGACGCGACAGTTAATCGTTACGGGGGAGGAAATAACTAAACGCGACGCGTCGTGCGATCTCTTAAGTGCGACGTTACGTAGTATTAAGTGTTTAAATGTGACGGATATGCGCATAATATTGTTTTCTATACAGCTTAGCAGCAGAATTTAAAGGAAATTGAATGTAACGTCGCGTTACGCCACGAAATCATTACACCGTGACATGTTTACATATTAATAACATAATCAAGTATCAATTTACATAATATTCTAACACGTCACACGTCAATTTTATTTTTTTTTGTTTTGGCATCTTGTTTCAAATCTCCATATTTGATCCATTAATTACCATTAAGTAGAGGAACTGGAACGGGGTCATAACCCTCCCTAACATTAATGATGCTGTTAGTTTATTAATCAAAATAAACATACAAGAACCCGAATATTTTGGTTTTGAACACAATTCTGTATTCAAGCATTCGGTTAAACACTTAAAACAAACACTAATTAACGTTAAAAGCTCGATTAATTGCATACAAATGGCGCTGTCGTAAGATTCAAAATGGAGGACGTATAAACAATTTAAATAAAATTAAGTGAAGAAAAATAAGGAAGAGTTACGTTATCTGACGATAAGGGACATTTATCAAGTTGACAGCATTTATTGTGAGTAAATTATGTTATTGTGAATCAGCAGAGATTGCTGTTTGATCGATGGCCTCTGTCACGTGTTTTGACACAATTGTGTACGAAAGAACGAATGAATCACGTGTAAACTGTAGGAAAATAGATTCATTTTTATCAATCCCACACTACTACTACTACTATCCCAAATTTAAACACAGGAAATTGATATCAGGTGTTACGAAACTGTCTCCTTTAACAAGACTGTATTGTGAAAGCGCGCGATGGCACAGTATGGTAACACGTGGAATGCAAACAAGCATTTTCCCCGTTTGGCCCATAAAAAATAATTAATTTTCCATACTTACTCGAAGCATCTTGTTTTACTTCTGGGATCTATCACATTGACTCAAACTGTCATGGCGCTCGAGCCGATGGAATTATTAAAATTTTAACACAGTATAACACCGGATAACGTTTCTAATCATCAGTTTTGTAACATGGGATGACGTAATTACCGGAATTAATTACGCTGGCGCATAAATTTTGCCCATATGCCGGCGCGTATCTGATTTATTAATTAGCCTCCAACTGTCATGGCGCCCGAGTAGGGGGGGAGGGATTATCTTTAAAATTAATTAAATTTCCCGGCGGAGGGGGTGTGAGAAAAAGGTAAAAATAATCCCGGTATCGGGCGTCGAATCAGTTATAACGATAATCATGCGATTAATCGATGTTTAACGGGCTGAAAAAACTCAATTAGTCAGATGAAAGTGTGTTATCGATTATCGAGGTATTAAGAATAGAGGGATTAAGTGTAAGTAGGTATTTTCAAGTGGATGACGTAGAAGCTGTGACCTCGACACGTGCCTTCAGATAAAAAAAAGCAGTAAAAAAAGGGAAACGTGACTTTTTTCAACTGTTTTCGCAGCCGAAACCCATGATATTACACAATACGTAACCTGACTGAAACACAATAGGATACCTGCCTATAGTGTATTAAGGATGTGACAAACAACGGCGAGTAGCCATTGGTCTAAACCGTTTGTCAGAGTTCACTGACCCGTTTTCCTTTGGTCAAAACAGATGAAATAGCTTCAGTACACAACTATGACGTCTTCTTATAAAGGAGGGGGCGAGAAGGGATAGACTATTGTTTGAAATATATCAGCTGATTGCTGACGCCAATCATTTCCTGTTGTGATGGATGGTGGCCAGAGTCCAGTTTTGAGCCTAAGTAATAACAAAAGGGACAAAGGAAAATGATGGAGATTTGTTGTGTTGTTGTTGTTTTGTTGTAATCATTTATTGGGATATTAAAATTAAATTGGCTGAGTTAAAGATAACGATAATAAAAGGGGGTGGGTTGTATTAAGATTTTCTTTGTTATTTCCTGTTTAATAAAAGTGGAGGATTTAGTTGAACCTGTTTACTATTTTGTCTTAAGTAAAATAATTGAATTCTCAAATTTTTATCATTTATCAGAATTAGTGTAGGGTGGAGTTAGCTTTGCATAAAGGAAATGAACCTGTTTATTCACAGAAAAAATATATATTATATACGAGAATGCAATCCTGCAGATAAAATTAAATAAATTTAGAAAAATATTATATAAATTTTAACATTTTGAAGCACTGGGACTTATAAAAGTTTACAAAACTCTACATGGTGCTAATAAATAAATAAAACAAACTATATTTTAGATTTTTGATCAAATAATTGACCATCCTCTGCTTCCAACAACTCATTTAATTAACTTCTAAAGATAGGTCCAAGTGCTTTAAATATTTAATTTTTAGTTCAAAACTCCATTAAAACGGTTGAAATCTTGGAATTATGATGCTAGTTCTTAAATATATAAAGTATATTCATGTATAAAATCAACTGTACAGCAATATCTTATAACTTTAAACATTGCAGCTATACCATAGTGTGAGATTATTTATGGGCTATTTCAAGGTTAAAATTTACTTAATGTTTTTAATACTGTATTTTGTAAGATTTATTCTTGAAATATTCATAAATAATTCAGATACTTAATTTAATATATTATACCAATTAAAATAATTATTGAAAATGTACGTAATGCAATATATGTTGTTTATTAGCGAGCAAAATTAGATGTTTTCAGTTTTAAATTTGAATTTATCCAAGTTTGAACTCTTAGATTGTTAAGTCTTCATTAGTACAGGGCTCACCAGTGGCTGAGTGAACACTAGTATGTGGTCATGGGTTTACATCTAACCAACGGGCTGATCGTGTGGAGTTTTCTAGGTTTTTTTCTTATATCTAATACCTAAACAGGGGCCAATTCACCGTAGAAAGTCTTCTTGGAAGGAAATTACCCATGTGTTGTGTGGCAGTATACCATCAAACTCTTCAATTAGTATGCATTTGATGCTCTTAGTTAATAAAATATATAAAAAAAATTAATGAATTACATACAAATATGTGATATAAATTTAACTGTAAACATTGTTCATGAGTTCAACATTTTAAATTTATTGAACTTTGTGAATTCTTAATCATGATTAACATCAAAATAAAAAAAAATTACACAAATTGAGACGTAAACTTTACAATAATATAAATTAAAAATAATATCCATAGACATTATTTTTTCAGTTTCGCATAAGACATTGATACAATGCCCATAAAGCATTTACATATATATTACATACAATTTTATCATAAAAATAATACATTTTTAAAGAAAAATTGTTTAGAAATTTTAATATAATTTTTATATCATCATCTTCATGATAATAATACTTTATATTAGAATATAATCTAGGATTTTATTCAGTCACGCAATAAAAAAATATATATATCATACTTTTATATTTTTTGTATATGAATAATATATGCATTAAACAATATAATTTTCTATTTTTCTTTTCAATTTTTCTCCAATTTGTTAATTATTTTTAAGTTAAAAATACTATAATAAACAAACTATAATCTAAAATCATTTATTTTAATATTAAATTTTACCTAAAATGTTATCATCCTTCTGAGAATTTGTTTCTATTTTACTAGAATCTGGAACGTGCCTTAAAATTATAATGTTGTAGGGTTTTCTATTTAGTTTATCATCATCATTGTTATTTACAGATTCGCTGGTTTCTTCCAGAATTTTATATTCTGCGGATGATTGGGAGAACGTCCTCTCTTGTACAGGCTTGTCTATTATTTCTTTCCTAATCGATATATTGTTTTTAGAGGAAGGAATAACTCGGCAAGTTGTCTTATTGCATTCTACTAAATGTTTTGCTAAAAGTTAAGATAGAAAGAAAAATTAAACTCATTTTCTGTCAGTGTTTTCTAGAGTAAGATTTTGTCATAAATTAAATAAATAAAATCAACTCTAGTGCATATTGCAAGTAGTTTAAATATAATCTAAACAGAATAAATCTGGTGTAAGGTTACTTTTTATGCACGGCTGAACTGTTCGAACATAAAAAAAATAATGTAAATGTTATCAACCTCTGTTATGTAAACCTCAATTTATGTAATGTTTCCATTAGTTTCATCATTTGAATAATGTAACACAGTAAAAATATGTACAGTACATATATTTTTAAACTCTTTCTGCTCTGCAACACTGAGAGGATCCATTTTTCTGCATGTTCACCATGATATTTGCCAGGCTCACAATGATTAGATGGTGATGGCTAGGATTTTAAGTACAGGAATCAAACACAAAAATTTCCGAGGATCCAATTCAATTGTAAAATTGAATCCTCCAGAGTGGAAGATCATTTTGGCTACTGTTCACAATGCAAAAATATTAATTTTCATATTTTACAGATGAGTTTATTCAAACTAATCAATAATGTTATATAATTAGGTTGGTATGTGTCGTGTATAATTAAAGATAAATTAAGAACTCTTCATCTATGTTAGTTATGCTTTATTATGTGTTACATAGATATAACTTAAGCATAAGGAGACAGAAGAAAAGATTGGCACTAAATTAAGGAATGCTCAAAAAGATTAAATTTTTTGATTAATTGATTTAAAGACTTAACTTTGAATATATTTTAATAATTTTAATTTTGAATCAATACTACTATTGAAAATTTAAGAAAAATTAAAACAGAAATGATATAAATAATAACCGTTATTTATATCATTTCTGTTTTAATTTTTAAAGCATATTATAATCAATCCAAGCTTTGAAATATATATAATGCAGCACTCAATTATATTCTGGGTGTAAATTATATTTTCATTTTTGCTTAATTTAAATGTTAGCATTATTGACAAATTTTTATCATTTATCACATCTTTCTAAGACTTTAAATAAAAGGTGATCAAAAATTAATAAAACAGTGGCATAGAGACTGTCCATTAATTAAGAATGCAATTTCTGAGTAACTTTTTGATTCCCCCTCTTGCTTTTAACGAATTAAAAAAGTGAAGAATTATTTATTTCTTAATTAAGACAATTAATTTTTGTGTATGATATACTTTTGGCAAACTCTCTCCCCTTTAATTATATGTACAGTAATTCATAGACCCTCTGACATTGAAGAAATGGCTTAAAAAATTACTTCAAATATTTTCTAAAAGTTTATTCAAGTAAATAGTAAGTAGGCTTATAAGAACTAATTTGTATACCACTAATACTAGTATTAATAAAGAAGGTCCACATAAACAATGCCTTGATCCCTTCTACATCGCTTACAATGATATAGTTTTTGTGACCCTCTCCCATAAACTGTACACATAATTAATGGAAGGACTCAAAGAAATAAGTTCTTTAACCTTATAACAATCAAATATTCTAGAGCAAGGATGTCCAACCTTTTTGTTTCTCTGGGCCACATTGGATGATGTCATGGAATTTTGGGCCACAAGTATATTATATATACTTGTGACCCAATCCTTAAATATACAAGTATATTTAAGGATTAACATGTCTAGATTATAGTGCGCACCGAAATTTTGGCAAAATGCTGAATAATGTAAATTTTTGTAGGACATCATGGAGAATTTCATAATTCGGACTGTCAATTTCCAAGCAGAATTGGAAAAAATACATTTGATGGTTTAGTAATCACGAGAGAGAATATTAATAAGTATTAAATCTTTATCATGAAAAAGGATATTTTAAAAAATTATTTCTACAGACACTCTCAATTTTTACTTAGAGATAAATTCATTTATTATAATAGAGACAAACAAAAATTTATTTGAAAAACACAAATATTTGTTTTATTTGGGACTCTAATTAATAAAAAAAATGACAAAACACCATTTTAAAGTGCATTTTTATTCGACTAATATATTTATAAATAATATGTAGCCCAAAAAGTAGCCAATGCGCCAAATGATATTTTTTACGCCAAACTTAAAAAAAGAGTAGCCAACTTTGGCACAAAGTAGCCAAATCACGCAACGCTGGAAGAAATACTAAATAAAGCTGGAGTTGGGACTGAAAAGGATTATAGACCCAAATGCAGAGGAAGGAGAGAAAGGACAAAAGATAAAGAAGTGAGGAAGACTGGAAAATTAAGGGTCCATATTTGCTTAACAATGTCTATTTAACTTTTCTCACTACTTTTTATCTTTTGGTCTTTCTCTCTTTTCCCTGAATTTGGATCTATAATTCTGTGAGTCACAACTCCAGCTTTATTTAGTATTTCTTTCTCATTCACACTTGTCAAGTATTTGAAAATATTTCCTTTCCACTCAAAATAAAATATGTATACAGGTTTACGGCTTTGTGAAACTTCTTTTTTCAGTTTATGCTGTTGAAATAAATAAATAAAACACAATAAAAAAATTTGTCGGTTTTGTTTACACGTTTATTGGGCTGCATTTGAACTTGCCTTAAGCCACATGTGACCTGCAGGCTGGACACTTGTTCTAGAGCTAAGATTTTAAATGCCTAATGATTGACTAATTCACTAAATTTTAGTTTTTTTTCATTACTAAATAGAAAAAGGCATTTTAAAGTTTATTAAAAGACAATTTTTATTGTCTAACCAATAACTTTGGCTGTCTTTTAATCTTCTCTCTTTGTATAATCATATCTTTGTGAACAAAAAATGATTCTGGGGAATCAAATTATATAAGAAATATTTATTAGCTTTAGACAAAAGAGAAATGTACAGTCAAGAAGAAGACATTACACAATCTGTATGTTTATGTAACATCTTATCAACTTTATCTAAAAATTTATTATTATATTTGTTGCATTTTATATTTAAATTGTTTAATAATGCATGTGTTGTGAACTCAAGCTTCTTTTATCAAATGATGTTTAAAGATGAACTGTTTTAACTTCAGAATTTGTAATCTGATGATCAAAAACATTTATCACTATATTAAAAACAATAGCCATAATCCACTAAGCTGACAATAGCATTGAAAGTAATTTGTTTTCGTGAATTTAATTAAATTGAAACTCAAAAATTATTATAAATTTAATGGATAATCACTTAACTGTTAAATATTAATGAATTTGTTCTAAATTTGAATGCAGTTGCCATAGAAATGAACACTGCATTGGTAGAAAGCAGTGTGTGCAGATATATGAAAATACAGACACACGATATAGTATTAGATGTGTATATACATAACATAATGATTCTAATGCAAAAGTACAAATTTATCTCTAAATTTTTTCTTAAAAATATAGCTGATAAATTTTCTTTGTCTGTCACAACGTCAGTAAATTACAACAAAAACTCATACAAAATTATAAAATAATCTCTGCATAGAATTATCACACTTTAATTTTACAGCTCTAAATTGCAGAATTAATGATATTTCTATGCTGAGTTTATTAATTTAGTTTATAAGTTTTTGGTAACTCAGTTAATTATTAATATTCAATATTTATATAAACTTTTTAAACAGAATAGCAAAATAATCAGACAAATAAAAGAAGTGTTTTCATCAGATCGTATTACTCTATTAATAAATTATTTTATTCATTTAAAAATAATTGAAGTACGTACCTGTTAAATTTCCATTATATGATGAATATCCACATTTACATAACATAAGAAATTCTGATCTGACAGATTTAAATTTCCTTGCTGTAACTTTTTTTGCATTCGAATGTTGATTTACCATGTGATGAACTATAGCTTTACGACAACAAGTCGAATAGTGACAAGATCCACACGTTACACAATTTCTACAATATATAAATTAATTGTTATTGTAAAGTTTGAAAATAAAATCTAAATTTTTACAAATTCTATTTGAGAATTATCTTTAATCATTTTAAGAAACTTCAAAAAACTTTATGTCAATTCTTTGAGCAAATTATTACAGTTAAATTAACTCAAATTTTTTACAGAACAATTTAAAACATTCAAATTAAATTAACAAAAGATAAATATAATTAATTTATTATTTTAAACTGTAAATTTTAATCAACATTTCCATACAGTTAACCACAGAAAATCATACTCTATAAATTGTGTTCACATAAAGAAAGAAATCAAAATCTAGTCAAAATATGGGATCTTGTTTCATCTAAAAATTCAAAAAAATTAATTGTTCCTAAGGAAAAGCTAATAAATATATTAGAAGACAAGAAAAAAAATGCAAAAATATGTATAAAATTTTAATTTTAATTGTTTCCTAATTAAAAACCAAACTATGGATGAATCTGCAGCATTGTTCCCTTAATAAAGACTTTTTATTTTAGGATTTTTATAAAAATTAAACAAATTATAATATAATTTAAAGTATTTGTGTATTTAAAAATGTATTTAAAATATTATTATTTTGTTTTTAATTATAAGCTTCTTGCTTCCAATGAATTACTTAATTATCTCAAACTGTATTGGAGTGACAAAATAATTAAGATCACATCATTAAAAGACATTTTATTTGTGGAATGCACTTTGATCATGCATTGGATGTTAAATATAGATTTGTAATATTGTAGATATGAATATGAAACTAGCTGAAGAGGTTCTGTGTATGACTGAAATGCATTCCTCGAATAAAATTAATCTTTTAATGATGTGATCTCAATTATTTTATTGCTTCAATACAGTTTGATAAGTCTCCTGTATAGGAGGAATATTGTTTGAGATAATTAAGTAATTATTTCTTTGATTTTTTTATACTGATAATTTAATTTGTATGACTAAAAATATTAAACTTCAAAAATTTAAATTATCTCAAAACAAATTTCCAGTTTCTAAAATTCAATCACCACAATTTGTTGAAGAACTTGATATTACTAAAAATGTCATAAACACTTTGTTTTATATGTCTTAGTAATATTAAGTTTGTCAATACAGCAGGATGTAATTTTAGTTTGATTCAATATATTCAGCCATTATTATCTTAATGAATTCAAATAATAATTTTGTACATACTTAATCAACAAACTTCAGATGAGACTGGGTTTTGAAAGTAACTTCAAAGAAAAAATGCATAATTTATATATGTATAAATACATTTTCATTAATAAATTGAAATATGTATTGTAGTTAAGTGTGCTTAATCAAAGAAATTTATCTTTTTTGCAATAAAATTACTACAATAACAATTTCTATTATACCATAACTTACCCAAAATGATTAGGCATTATGGAGTAACCACATTCACAGCAATCAAAAAGTGCAATATGCGATGTATCTACTGTATCAATTAATTCATTGTTTAGTTTTTCAACAATATTTTCACCTTGATTTTTGTTGGAAATGCATTCGAACGGATGAACTCCTAAATAATTGCAAAAAATGTTAATAAAATAAAGAACTATTTGAAACATTTAAATCAACAACAAAAATAACATAAAATAGAATAAATCAAAAATATTTTAAATCTAATTCTAATTAATATATTAAAACAAACAATTACGTTAATTTGTAATACAGTAGACCCCCAATATAATGTGCATGTCGAGTGGGAAACAACACCTGCGTTATAAGGTGAATCGTGTTATACAGCGCGATGGCAACACAATAAATTTACTCAGAACAATTTGAACTATATACTGAAACATCGCATTAACTACATACATATTATATATTTTAATAAAAAAAACAATTTATTTATTAAGTGTTTTATTAAAATTCACATAACATAGTTATAATCTTAATAAGTACTGTACATACTGTATATGTATTATTTTATTTACTTACATAAGGTACGCTTGAAAATACAGTACCGTATGTAAAAACAAACACTATATATAACTTGACTAAAATCTATGTATTCGACATCATTTCAATTACAAAACATCACTTAAAAAAGTGAGTAATTTTTGTTTGTTTGCTTTTTGATAACTTCTGTATCATTTCCCTTTTGAAAGATGCTAATTGCAACAATCTGACACTGTTAATATTTTCTTGTGATTCAGCCCATTTTACAACAGTTTCCATGGCTGTTATTACTTCTTTGGTTGTTGGCGGTATATCAGCTATCCCACTGACACTTTCATCATCATCTTCTGTTTCTTCTTGACAATCTTTGTCACTGCAAATGGATTCAATAATCATTTCATCAGTCATATTCTGACAAATATCTTCTCTAGTGTCCACATCTAACCAATCAGTCAAAGAATAATTAGTTACTTCTGGCTCATTCAATATTGCCCGGATATGAGAAATTTCAGCCTCAGTGACAACATTATCTGAAGCTGAATCTGAATGTGTTGTGGTTTGGTCGAGATCAACTTGATTATTAGATTCATTTAATTTTTCCAACAGTTTCTAATTGCCTCTGATGTGATTGCCTGCCAGGCAAGTCCAATACTGTAGGACATGTCTTTGAGATCCATTTTTTAAAAAATATGTTGATGTCAATGTCTGATGCTAATAATGACTTCATCATTTCTCTTTGGTAATTTGTTTTGAAAGCACTAATAATGCCTTGATCTAAGGGTTGTATAAGAGCAGTAGTATTTTTTGGAAAATACATTACTTTTATTTTACCATCGTCAGACACAAAGTTATCAGCCAATGGATGAGATGGGCAATTATATAAGAGAAGCAAAACTTTTGGATCTAGACTCAATCCTCTCAGAAATTTTAGCACAGAGGGAACAAAGGAATTGTAAAACCAGTCATGAATATGTTAGAAGTCATCCAAGTGTTTATGCTGTTTTTATAAACAACTGGCAGAGATGTTATATTGATTGACTTGAAACATCATGGGTTTTGACTTTTACCTATAATGAGTGGTGTCAACTTGTGATTACCAGCTTTATTTACACAAAATAAAGCTGTTATCCTTTCCTTGCTTAGTTTTAATCCTGCCTTTTGTGGATTACTTTTTAGATCTAAGGTTTTACTTGGCGACATTCTGTAATATAATGCAGTCTCATCACAGTTATAAACTTGTGCATCAGTATACCCTTCTTTTTTAATGGAAATTGTGAACTGTTTGGAAAATTCTGCAGCACCTTCAATATCACTAGACTTTGCTTCACCAGAAATAGAAATTTGGAAGATGCCATGTCGTTTTTGCCAACGCCACAACCAACCATCAGAAGCCTTAAAATCTCCTGCTTTTAAGCTTACATGGAATTTTTCAGCCTGCAACTTTAAAGCAGTTCCAGATAAGGGAATACCTTCACTTCTTTTTTGCACAAACAATGCATAGAGGTAATCATCAACATTTTGATTTTTTTCCAAGTCTTGTCTTTTTTTGAATAAGCATCTTGGTCAAGCTTATCAACAAATGATTTCAGTTTTGTCTCCTCTGCCATCCAACTCCTTACAGTTCCTTCAGGTATGCCGTATTCTCTTCTTATGTTTGCATTCAAAACTCCACTCTTTACTTTAGAATTATGTCAAGCTTTTCTTTTACTCATCATGCATACAATAATTAAATACTATTCAAAATACATGCAGGAACTCGATACATGTACAATTACTCAATACGCAGTAACAATAAAATGCACTACTCACTAATGCCGCACGAACCTGTATAAATGTGTTTGAGCTTATCACGTTGCAAAAATCGCCTGTGCTATAACTGAGTGCGAGGTATAGTGAGCAGCGCTATAATGAAGGTCCACTGTAATATAAAAAACTACGAGAGTTTAAGATCTATTAAATTTTAGACTTTTGTCAAGAATTTTTCTCTTTATATTTTGTATCACTGTTACTTCAGAATATTTAAGTACATTCGTAAATTGTTCAATATCTTTGATTTTTTTTCAGTTTATTATTTCTTTTATAAAGTATTTTAATGAATATTATAAGAATTGTTTAAGAATATACAGTAGAAAGTCAATTATCTAAATTTGATATGATTAGGTCTTTTGGATCATTAAAATTTCAGATAATCAGAAACTAATTTGTGTGTTTTGGGTACATCAAGCAATGTGCATTTAAAGTTTCATAAACTACAAATATTGCAATTCAATTACTATATTTGAAAGTAAATTAATTTATTCAAAATCTAACATAATATTACACATTAATATATGACCTAGTTTCATGACATCACAATTGAAATGACTTACTAAACTTCAGTTATGCAAAGAGTGTGGTTTCTGTAATATTTACTGTACAATGCTGTATATCCTTTTTTTTTTCTTTTTTAAAGTAATTTTAGATAATGAAGTTCTACAAGTTCTACTGTGTTTTAAATTTATTGAAATTTTAACTTGTTTTTAAAATATAGAAACAAAAAAAAATTTTGTTGGTGTATTCTCTACATGTAAAACTGTGTATTTATTCAAAAACTATATATAAAAGTTTTATGAAACATAAGTAAGAATTAAAATCCATGTTAATTTTTCTATGGTAGATCAATAAAAGAATTTATATAATATTATGACTGAAAACTATTTAATTATAAAGTGATTAATAAATAAAAATAAAATAATAAAAACATCTGATTGTAAATTAATCATTTTAAAAATTTAATCAATTTTATGTTCCGAAAGATATTAACAGTCCCCAAATAAGTAATAATGCATTACGAGTGTATATAATTATTATATAAATAAAAGTTCAAACCTTTCTCGTAAATCATTGGTATATGATCATTTAGTTGATGTTCTTTACGTTCTTGAATATTAAGAAAAATTAAACAACAATGAGAACATTTTCTCATTGCAGTTTTCAATTGATGCTTTTGCAGGTGATAGAAATAGTCTTTTGTGTAGCCAATTCCATTTTTGGACAATTTTATATGGAAAACTTTCAAACAATAGTAACATAACATCCATTCGGTTCTGTTATGAGTCTAAAAATATAAGAAATTATTATTAAATGTAGCTTTAATACAATAACAATTGTAATTTAAAATAATTTTTCATTAAATTTATTTACATAATTTGGATTAGAAGTAAATCTCATAAATATCTGAATTAGAATTAGATTTAAATACTAATTTAGAAATGCTATTCCAAATAATTTCTTACCCTACATAATTAAAACAAACTGTTTAGTTAGTAATTGGAAGAGATTCCTATCAGCAAGTATTAAAGGACTTACAATTATAGGCTGAAATTTAACTATTATGCCACCCATTCTTACAAATATATTTGTACTAGAACATATAAATCTAACAGCTTAAAATTGGTTCCTATTTTTCTTGAAAATGCTGGAATTGAGGATTTTTCACTATTATATACAACTTTAAATTCACATACTTTTATTTTAAACAACATTTAAGAGCCAGAGCAGTCTTTCCTTGTAAATTTTTCTCAGCAAAATGTTATGAGTCTGTTCACTTTTTGTTTCATGTGTGAGAAGTAGAATGAAATTAAATTTAAGAAAAATCTTGTCCATGGTTAATTCTATCTTACAAATGGGAAGAGTTTTCTGTATGCATGCAAGGCCACTGCTCTATAGTGTTGTCTGTTCAATGGTTATATAAAAACTATGGTTGAAAAGGTCAATAGTGATTTTTTTTTTGTACTATAGAGCATTAATTAGTTAATCATTAAAACAGACAGAAAACGAGATATGAAGACAAATTTAGTTTCTTCAATGTATTTTTTATGGTTAGAAAAAAAAGACACAACACAGAAAGACTTTACAAAAATAAATTTCTTGGTAGACTATACATACTGGATGAGTCTATTTCATTTGGTCCTTTCACACGCTGTTGAGATAATAATGATTCTACAGTGAAGTCGACCTTTTACTGTAGGATACTGGTCCGCCATCCAATGCAAAAAGGTTAAAATAGAGTGTGAAAGGACCAAATGAAATAGACTCATCCAGTATGTATAGTCTATCAAGGAATATATTTTTTGTAAATCTAAATTCGTTCTGGCAATTTTTTTTAAACAGAAAAACTTTTTTTAGTTACCAATATTTAGCATACAATAATGACATGATGATTCAGTAGCTAGCTCAATATCTAATCTTGTTGAATCCCCTGCAAGTAAGGAAATTAGGCCACAAATACAGTCAAGAAACATTCTTATGTAAAATGCCCTGGGATATCTTGCATCCCAGAGTAAAAAATTTCAATGCTGCCTGTGCATCCTAATTCAAACTATCTATGATACACTATAAGGTTCCAGATCAGATTTAAATCTGTTTTCCTAATGGCAATAAGAGGATTTATTGCCATTAGGTAATTCAAAATGTATTTTTTATGGCTGATTAATGTGGAACATCAGCATATTAAAATTATCTTTCTAGTCATAATTTCATATTACAGTTGGACCTGATTTACAATAGAATCAATCGATACTGATAAGAAATGAAAAACAATGTCATCCATGTTGTCATTGATAAATTTTGGAACCAGATTTGAACTGAACTCCACAAAGCAATAGAGTGACAACTTAACATTTTTGTAAGACATAAAATAAAAAAAATGAAAGAAAAACTCATCAAATTATTAATTAATAATACAACTTACTAATTAGGAAATTAAAAACAATTTTTTTAAGTAATCGATTACCTCATAAAAATGTATTATGATGTCTTGATAAACAGAGGAACGATATTGACAGAGCTTACAACTATATGGCATTTCATATTGAATATGCAAAATTTTCATATGAGATAACAGATCTTCAAATTGATGGAAATTTATATTACATATTCGACAAAGTAATGTATCCTCATTCCAGTGAACCTACAAAATAAATAATAATTATTACTTTTATTCAAAATTACTTCTCCATTATGTTTTACTACATTATATAAACTTTAAACTTAATTTAGCATATATTAGTTTTTTATTAAATGTAAAAAATAAAAATGTAGTGCATCATAACCGAATTTTTAAAAACAATGAATTTAATATTAAATTTTAATTCATTCTATATGTATTAATAGATCTAAATGCTCAAAGCCTAATAAAGTTTTCAAATTAACCTAATTGCCTAATAAATATAAGCAATAAATAATGTGTATTGAATTGTATATAGGACTACATTTTTAATTTTGATAAAATATTTAATATCATATCAATTAATGCACAATGTAAATAACTGTATCCAGTTCTCCACTGATATAAGTTTTTTTTTTGAAAGATTACATGGTGTCAGGGCTGTGAGGTTCTCACGACAGCAGAATGTGGCCATCGCAGGTGCAGAATATGTCTAATCATGTGAATGAGATTTGAAAAGAATGCTTATATTAAAGCATTCTTTTAATCAGGGCTGTGGAGTCGGAGTCGGAGTCGTGGAGTTTTGGTGTTTTAGCCAGAGTCGGAGCCGGAGTTGGATGGTAAGGAAAAGTCGGAGTCGGTAGATTTTTACACGATTCCACAGCCCTGGCAGGATTGTGGAGTCGGAGTCGGATTGGTAAGGAAAAGTCGGAGTCGGAGTCAGTAGATTTTTACGCGACTCCACAGCCCTGATTGTAACACAAGAGACCAGGTAGCACATCATTATTGTTTTTGCAAATTTGTATAGCCTATATCTTTATTTTATATTTTTTGGGTCGCGAAAAAAATCACAATCATAAATGGGGTCGTGAATAAAAAAAGTTTAAGAAGCCCTGGCCTATTATATAAAAATTCAAAAATAGATTATTTTAAAGCTTTTTTTCATTCAGGTTAAAAGACTNAAGATGGAAAAAAGCCAAGTGTTCAATTAATAACACAATATTGTGTTCAACAACTAACTCCTGTGTTAATCATCTGACCCCGATTTAAAAACCACAGAAGACTCCACAGCCCTGGTTTTAACTTAGTAAATTCAAATGTAAATTCTAATTACAATTCGTATTCAAATTTAATAGGTTAAACTGGACGATGACAATTTAAGATGGTTGAAAGCTTCTTTTTTTCTAGTGAAGTCTTTTTACTGGTATTAGTGAGATTATTTGAGCTTTGTCCAGTTGTATTACCTGTTTATTTGAATTTATACTCTCTTACTTATATATTATATTTGTATTAATTTAGTTCTGAATCATTTCATGTTACTTTACTTAATATATAGACAACACCTGAAAGAATAATTATAATTTTATTGCAAAAAATAACGGTAGAATAAACGAATTGTAAGAAAAGTACTTCTGTAACATTATTTTTACACTTCAAAATTGTTTTCAGGGAGTATCGGTATACATATATTGTGCATTTTCTATTTACCGACATCACAAACACAATTCCACGAACAAGTAAAGAAAAACATTGAAAATTGAAAGCAAAACTTTACAAATGTCTTATTTACACAAATAGGAAGTCCGATTTTTATAAAGTATCACAAGTTATATATGTCTAAAATTGTGAAAATTATCACGTTTTCTCCATTCTAATGCAATTTTTGATCCCAAAAATTGGGTTGCACATTAGGATCAAGAACAAAGTTAACTTAATACAGCCTTGTTCATATCATTTGATCTTTACTCTGCTCAGAAATTCACATATATTATAATGTTGGTATAGACATAGTACATCACCTTTCACTAGTTCAGTTTTAATTTTGGTTTTGAAACAATTAGGGGGTATTTTGGACTACATCAAGCTGAGTAAATGATATCCAGCAGGCAAATCTATAAAGCTGTGTTTACACAGAGAGTTATCCATTATGCTGAAGAATACGTATATAGATATTCTAGTATAATAATATGTAAATTTAATGTTTTTTCATATGGACATGAAATCTTGTTAAGATATTGATTGTATGGTAATTTTTTGTGATTTTGTATTGGTCTGCAGATTATCTGCACCTGATAACAGAGTCATAAATGAATACATTTGAAAATATGGACATCATAAAGCACTGTAAACATTAAATAAAATAGTTTTCAAAAAAATGTGTCTATTACTGTTTATATATGTTAATATTTTTCAGCTGCATTTTTAAAACAGGCCACACATACATTTACAATTTAACTTTCTTCTTTTGGGTTTTGATGTCTCGAAAATTGAGTGAGCATTAGATTTCATAATGCATTAGAATTGAGAAAACATGGTATATATTAAAAATTAATACTTACAGACTGTAAATGGCAATGCAAATCAAAAGGAGTGTTAAATTTACTAAGGCAATAATTGCATTCAACTGGATTATCTAAAGGCAGATCACATAGACTTTGGTCATTAATATGGGTGTTAATGTGATTCATCACTTTGATATTATTCAGTAGAACAATCTTGCATATGTAACACTAAAAAAATATAATTTAAATAAATTAAAAATGCTTATTTTAATTTGTTAATAAAATTTCATATCCAAGTAAAACTATTTAAATTTATAATTAAAAATTTATTAAACTTACTTATATATTTACTTATAATAGATTTAAAATAAGTAATTATCATTTTATGTAAATAACTGTTACAAAATGGACATGTGAAGTTGAAATTGTAATAATGATTCAATACTTAAATCATAAAAATGTATTAACCAGCTGCTATTAAAACAGATTTTAGATATTATTAACAAAATTTTTATTTTGACAGTGTGTTTTTAAATATAGGATAAATAATAAAGTCTTCAAAATGATACTGATTAGAAAAACTATATAAACACAGTAAGAAAAGACAGTTGAAAATACATGAAAGAAAACATATTATTAATCAATATAGAAGAGTATTCTATATTGATCAATAATATGTTTTCTTATTATACATAAAATTATATCTTTTGTAAAACTTTATAAGAAGAAAGAGGTTACAACAGTGATTAACTGTGCTTTTTAAATATGAGATTTGATCAAAAAATATCCAGATTATGTCTGTAGTTTTATATTTAATAAGTATAAGAAGAAACTAGCAATAATATATGATGTGATCATCAGTTGTGAGTTGACTGTCATTGAGTTTGTATTGAAAGTTTTTCCTTTCAAGATTTATAGTGGTTTTCTGTAATTCAGTTTTCTTTGTACTGGGTAATTTTTAAGATGGAACTAATTGAAGAACACACTTGGGTAACGTTTTGTTTTAAACTTTGAAAGATGGTGATAAAAACTCCAATTTTTGAAAATAATCTTTAGAGATTCTTTCAGTTAAAGCATGTGTTTTGAATGATTTAGGCACTTTAAAGATGGCAGAATGTCAATGAAAGATGATTAAAGCAAGGTAGACTTTCAACTTCCAGAATTGGCAAGTTTTTTTTTATAATAATTGTATTTGTTGTGGGAATCAATAAATGTTATTACTATTATATAATAAATATTTTAAAATGTTTTGTGAATCATTTCATTACAAGTTTTACCTTTATTATAATATCTTCTTTCATGAAATTTTCCAATTCCTTCTCATTTGGATCTTTAAATGCATAATAATGCCTTTCTAGAGCAATAAGTTCTTTAGCTGTTAAAATAATATTCAATGCATTAAATGTATTTAAAAACAATTAAAAACCTGTAAAAATATCAAGTAATACAAACATAATTTAAAATTAATTTCATCTTTGTTTAAATACAGTAGAGCGTCGATTTTCCGAATCAATTGGGGACTGGGGTTGTTCGTATAACTGATATTTCAGATAACCGATTTCTGTACGAAAAGATAGTTTAACGTATTCGATGTTGAAATTTTTCTCCGTTGCGTGTCGCTTCGCATTGAATTTTCGTCGATGTTAAGCCTAACAAAGACTATTGTATCGTTAAAAATTATTTTTTTATTTTGTACAAACAAAATAAATATATTGAAAAATATAAAAACAATAAAAAATTATACTTCAGATGTTAATTTAGTATCAAAAACGTAAAATATTTGAGTAGCCCAAGACATAGACAAAGATTGAAGCGCCACAGCACTGGCGAAAATTTAAATTTGCCGACTGGAATTCTTTCGGATGATTGACTTTCGGAAAATCAACGCTCTACTGTATTACATTTAAACTTAAAATCAGAATTAAAATTATTACTCTAATAATTATTTTAAAATGATTTAATCTTACCATAAGTTTTTAAAATTTCTTTGTTTTGTGTTTTATATTCTGGTAAACAAGTTTTAATTTTCAACTGTTTTTCTTCATTCCTAACTGTTTTAGGGCTTGAAATGTCTTTGTTTTTTCTCTTCTGTAATATTTCTTCTAAAAGAAAATTTAATAAAGTTTCTCCCCTCAACATTAAATGAAAAACAAGTCACGAAAGAAATATATAATTAATTATTCTTAGAATATTTAAATAAACGCTCTTATAAATAAATAATTACGTTGAACTTCACATTCTGAGCTTTCCCTTTCAGAACTTTCCGAGCTATCCTTATCTGAACCTTCAATTAGCGTATCAACATTTCCATTTGTAACTGTCTTGAATGCTTCTGACTCCAACAATTTTTCAGGAATGAATAATTGCCTTTCAGTTTTTATCTGCAAATATGTATTATTTATAAGAATTATATTAAATAAAATATAATTTATCATTTATCATTTTTGATATATATAATTTTATACTGTCAATTATATGGCTTGATGTTTTAATACATAATTAATGATATTTTATGAACTTATTTTACAGTTTAACAGTATTTTATTATTCGGAGAATTGTAAATAATACAGCGCTTCCCAAAATAAATGCTACCATTTTAAATTACTGTAATTATCTGAAAAGTATTTGATGTATGACAAATAGTAGAGTAACTTTCATCTCCCATATGCATGTTTCATCTCCCATATGCATGCAAACATCTCGTCTACTATATCTAAGAAGTGTTGTAAACAAAAATGGTGACTCTGCAACAGAGAAGGCATTTGTGTTCTACAGTTCACTAAGTCAGAATCACTCATCATTGCACATGACTAATCAGCAGGAGCTGTACAATTGTGGCTACTGTGGGAGGAGTGACAAAAGATATGCTGTAGTGAGTGTAAGAAGAATTTGAATATCGGTTGAATATGTGCTATGCAACAAGAGGACAAGAGATGAATGCATTGAGAAACTATGATGGACAAACATGAAATTTGGACAGTTTTCTGATCTTTTAATGGACATTACAACATTGTCAGATAATAATTAACATAATTACAATCATTTAAAATAGTATCACTTTTCCTGGAAGACCCTGTATATAAACAATTTAATAATTAATAAAGTCTTTTTGTTTGATCGTTTTGTACACTGTGACGTGACATGTGGACAATCTGTTGAAGGGGGAATGCACCTGGAAGGACTTTCTAACCCTGAAACAGGCCCCTATTTATATGTTACAAATGTGAAGAAAACTCCAAGTGGCCAGCCCATTCATGAGATGTGAACCCACGACCAACTACAAAAATACAGTGGTTTTATCCACTCGACCACTGGTGGGCCAAGTCTTTTAGCCTTTCATCTAATAGTATAAATGAACTCTATTTCAATATAACTTCATTAAATTTTAAGAAATAAGAACAGTGCCAGTTTTGCCATTAAATATCACAAATAATTTTCTATAGGTGCTACAAAAACAAAGGCAAAGTTTGGTTTCATTAACAAGCAAAAAGAATAAATATATATTTAATAATTATAGTAAAGTAAAAAAAGTAATATAAATTTTAAATGAGATTAATTTAAATAAATTTAAAATAACTCACATCAGTATTGGATAATAATTTGGAAAGCTGCTCAGATGTTTGTACAAGTTGAAAAGACGCATTGGGATTATCAATGAGTACGCCTTCTGGAAGAAACATGACTGGTGGTTCCAGAGTACGGTCTGTCGATTTGAAAACCAAGCAAGAACTATTTTCATTAACTTGATTCCTTGTAGTATTTGCTGTATTGAGTAGTAAATTGTTATTAGGCAAGAATGTGGAAACTTGAGGAATATGACCTTCCTTTCCCTGAGATTTCTTTTCGAAAGACGATAATGAAGTAGGAACTAGAGATTGCGAAGAGTTAGATTTGCAATGTAAAACAGAATTAAATGTTTTTTTAGATTTTAAACAGTTATTTTCAATTGAACTATCAGACACATAACTATTAGGTATATAACCATTTTCTAATTCTAAATTCTCACAATTGTTATAAAGTTCTTGATCAATTTTCCAGAATGCTTTTTCTTGTATCTCTGATAATACATCCTCACTACATTCCATCATTAAATCAATATTATCTTCATGTTTATCACTAATTATAATTTCCTCATTTACATTATTGGAAAATATGTCAAAATTTATATTGTTCTCTATTTCCTTATAAGGGATAATAAGAGAATTAAGATAATTAGGTTCAACAATATTCGTACTACTCAAGTAGTGTTCATTCTTAGGCCTTTTCCTATGCTTCATTCTACAATTTCTCTGTAAACATACATAAACAGAAATGGATTAATTCATTTATTTATGATAAAAGCATAAATTTATAAGAATAATTTTAAAGAAATATAATAATTTATAGCAGCATGCCTTTTGTGCTAATGTTCTTTCTATTATTTAATAATAGTTCAAATAAGTATTTATCTTAACAATAAATCCTGTATAAAATAGTCAATAAAAATAAAAATTTAAATTCTTATTTCTAACCAGTTTCATGGCCTGTAACGAAGCATTTTTATGAATCACTACAAAAATATATTACGTAATCTAAAAAAAAAAGAATATATGTAAGAATACAATTTAAATATTAATTAATTATAGTCACGGGTGGCCGCAGAGGGAGTAAATGCACTTGTATTTCCCTGGCTCAAATAAAAAATTTCATAAATTATAATTGTAAACGTGATTGAGATATGTAATTTCACATCCTTGACAATGGGATGTTTTGTCTGTCTTTTTGTATTGATGAAATACTGCATTCTATAATCTACTTGTAATAAAACCAAAAAATAAAATTAAAATGTATTAATGTAATTATTTGCTTATAAACTTCTGTGGGTGCCCATGCTTATAGTGTATTGTAGTGTCACACACTACAATACACTATAAGCATGGGCACTATACACTATAAGCATGATTTACAAATGCATTTCATATACAGCATGATTTACAAATGCTTTAAATAAAGCTACGACAACCACCTTAATTTTTTCTATGGATTGCTCACTAAATGTTTTATGTCATCAAAGTGGACAATATAAAAAAGATTCTAAGTGATACATCTGAAAATTACTTATTCACATTTCTTTTACAAATGTAGAATTTACATAAAATTTAATGTTTTTTAGTATTTCGGCATTAAAACACCATCACGTGGCTCTTCACTACATATAGTTTATTCCATACTTACTTTAGATTAACTCGTTCATCTCTGATACAAGGCCATCAATAATTATACATTTTAAACAAACGCAGTGACAAATGTCATATTGAATAGAACAAAGAATCACTCAACTAATTTGACTAACATAATTACATTGCATGGAATCTGAACAAAAGGGAAACCTGCCTAAACAGAAAAAATTTCTTCGGAATGGAGAAATTTTCTGCGTTAAAAAGTACCCGTTCAAAATGGATACCTGCTGAATTGGAAAAAAATATTTGTTACCGGGTGATTCCAACTTAAACAGGTTTTTACCATAGTTATCAACACTTACTTTCAATGTCTTGCTGCCTGCATTAAAAAAAAAAAACTACAAAATACTTAAAATATGTTGAAAAATTGTTTTGAGAATCACATTTTAATTTTTGGATAAAATTACACTTAGGTAGCCCCTATGGTGTAAAGGTCAGTTTTTAACACGTGTTGTTCTACCATCTATTCTACACGCTTCGCACATAAACGCGTGCCTTGGTGCCTGCTATCACTTGCATCTCAACGCCCAAGCGGGACGAACTCCCACACACCTCCCTAAAACAATATAACATCAAGTACTCCAGAACAGTCAAGCAGGCTAGTCAAAGCCAGCATAGTCACATGGGCTAAATAATTAAACGCCACAGTCTTGAAAGTACTGCCGTTGGAGCTACCTAGATGCACTTCTAATTTTGTAAGGGCATGAAAATTACAGTTTAATACAATATTAAACCATGTAAGAGATTTATTGAAACTTACATAATGCGCAGTATACTGGTACCAGTCTTCCAATTTGGGAAAGATGGAAGGTACAGCGCCGGTCCTCAATTTTGGTATCCTTCTACGATACGATACCAGTTCGCCATTGACAAAGTAACTCTCTCTTCTGATAATATCACATTCAGCAAAATGTTTTATACAAACCATGGGATTTTTCAACCCAGAGAAATCAGTAGGAATTGCATCTAACCATTTTGTCCTATTTGGTTCCTTTCTTGGCAAAGTATAAACAGTAACATGCTGTTCTTCCTTTCTGTAATTAGATCTACACCCAATTATACTACATTTGGAAGGCATTTCCACTTGCAAACTAGTCTTAAGCTTAGGCCTTCTCAAATGGGTCAAACTACAGTTCTTAGATAGAAATTTGTATAAAAAAAATATAATTGCAGGATAATATTACGAAAACAGGCTTATTTTTTCTTGCCTGGTGCACTAAATTCCAAAGGAATAGTAATTGCACGAAAACAAACACGTGGCCTCACTGACAATAACAGTAGCCTGTCGATGACGTCAATAAGAAAGTCTTTGAGAAGATATTAACAGTGTTGCCAGCTCGCGTGTTAAAATGATATATTTCTTGAAAAAATTTCTGATGCACGCTTTATTTTACATTTAAATATTTATTATTATTTTCTTTCGCAAACGATATAATATCTTTTATTTCTCTAGTCAAATTTTGTTCTTAAACTAACTCTAAGGGTACGACTATGCAGAAGCGAATTTAATAGCGAGCGATATAGTTCTCGCAAAGGAAAACATGCATAAGCGAGAAGCGAGAAATCTCGCTGGCGTGAGCGAATTTCTGATTCTCGCACATATCTGACAGTGTTTGATATTTATCGCGTCTCGCCTCTTTTCTCTTTATCTTCTCGTCTACATAGTCGCACCTTTAAACATTAAAAATTTGAAGAGTGATGGGAGGTGATGTACGGTAGATTATTCGAATTGATTCATTTTGCAGATGATTCGGATAATCGAAAATTCGGATAAGTGGATTCACGTGTAAAAATGAAATTACAGGGTAACAGCATAGTATTGTACGCATACTGTATTTATTATTTATCAATGTGCGAGTAGCAACCTACTGATCGCTTGGATTTGTCACAGAAAATAGGGTCACTGATCAGTCCCTTCTCAGCAGTCGCGTGACGTCAGTGGGAGAGAGAGAGAAATAATGCAGTAAAACTCGGAGTTTTACTGCATTATTTCTCTCTCTCTCTCATTAACATAGTATAACGATATTTTTATTACTTATTATTAGATATACTGAATTTAACTGAAGATCTTGTTTCTAAAACAAGTCCAGTCCATGGACTTAAGTTGTATCTCTCAATAATCTACTCCTTGCAAAGTTTATTTTTTTCTATTTGCAGTCAACAGCGACTTATACAACACTAAGAACAACCTATAGCAAGTGCACAGCATAGAAAACGAATACTTTTCTTTAGTTTCTTTTCTCTTGTGAGAATCCTGAAATATTCCGGAATCCCACTTAATTGGTTAATATTTAACGTATTTTTTCCATGCCCTACTGCACCGCTTTCGTTCTCACTTGATTGCAAAATTTGGCAACCTTGCACGCTCCTAGAAATTGTGCAGAATGGAGTAAACATGTTTTGTTTTGTGTTCTCCAATTTTACGTTTTATATATTGTACAATGCATAATAATAATATACACGTATCTTTTTACGGCATTTTAACATACTAAAAATGTACCCATTGCCTGCATGACCAAACCTATAAATGGTTTTGTCATGCACACAATGATGGGGTGGTTAATTGTGAGAGACTGACTTGAAGACTTACCAGCGCTCATTTGGGTATTTTTGAGTTCGAAAAATCTGATTTTTTACATAACACAAGTCCTTAAACTCGTTATTTACTATAATCATTACGTGACTGGTGAATAATTAAAGTACTCCTATTCAATGCTGTCCGGAAAGAAATTTTAGCAGTCCAAATTCTACCAAATCGCGTATGGTAACAATTCACTACATTCGACAAATAAAATCAATATTAAAGCTTATGACTGCAATGCTTCTCGCGCTGCAATCTAGCAGTTTCTTTTGCATAAGCAAACGTGTTGCACCCGCGAGTTCTGAGTATAAAAGTGGCCATAACTATTGCGTGTCATTCTTATCAGCTAGGGTAATGGTGCGCAAACTGTGGGTGAAAAAATTTTTCGGGGTCGCCAAATTCAAAGAAATTTATTAGACAATAAAAAATATAAGGGTTTTATTCAACAAGTATCAGGTATCAGTAAAACAGTGAAATGAAATTATATTATTTACAAAAATAGAAATAGGTATTTTTACGAAAACAATTATGTGTATTAATTAGTACATAATAAAGATAGAGGATAACTTACGGCTTGCAATTTCCAATACAGATCCGAACATAGAAGCAATGAATAGCTCTTTGCAAGCGCATACCTCACATTGAATTCTTATAACGTAAAGATTTTTTTAGAAGTATTTTAAATTAAATAAATATTTACATCCATATGCATAAATAAAACCATTGTTTCATAAAATTATGTGTTTTATTCAAACCTCTAATAAGGCAGAAACATAAGCACAAATCCCAGAAAGAATTTCACTCTAAATACGTTGACAATTAAAAGAAAAGTCTACTGTCTATCCAGGGGTCATGACAAAATTTTACATAAAATGGAGGGTGGAAAATGAAAATAGTTTGCGCACCACTGACAGAACGCGAATTTCTTATGAGGCTGTTGTATAAAAACAACAGAAACTCAACAATTAGCCTACGTCAAAGAAAGCTTTCTTCTTTATTTTACTCTCTCCATCCTGTAGTGACTAAGATAGCCTTTTTTAAAGCCCATCATTGGGAGACGGCAGTTAAGCTTTCATTTTATTCCGATCCTAGTCTTAACAAGTAGTTTAGCGTAAACAAGTAAAAACTTCAATTTACCTGAGTTTAATTTTTATAAATTTGAATTGCGTTTGAATTTGTTACATCTCATTCGAACTCTCATTTGCTCTAAACATATTAAAAAAATCTGCTGCAATTTTTAACATTACTCTGTATTCGGCTGTATTCTACATTCTACGGTACCGTACATTATACAGTGGCAAATTATCGCACAGTAAACCAGAAAAATCCTCCACAAATGAAATTACAAACACACCTGTCTTTATAATTTCATTTATTTAGAACTTTTCTGTTATCAAGTTGATATTAAGTTAGAGAATTATTCTTATCAAAGAGACTTTAGTTTAATAATCTCTGTTTTATAGCATTTTATTTCGTGCTTTTGTATCGATAGAAATTCGCAAGTTTTTAAAATGACTTTTTATATTTTTCTTTCGTTATGAATCGCGTACATTTTCTTCTGCTTTCACTTTCGGTTTAATTGCGAGAAAGATTATTTCAACTTTAATTATAAATTTGTCCAAAAATAAAATGTGCGGATATAATATTTAAACTGATAATACACGTAATCAATCGATATAAATTTAAAAAGTTTTATTAAGTAAAAGTTTATATACACGTTTAATTGTTCAACATAATTATAATCGTGGCTTAGACATATGCTAACTGCGATATTTCCCTTTTGTTTTTATTCGGGTGTCCAGTGTTGACACGCACGTTGCTGGCGAAAATCCATTATTTTCCGGTCAGAATTTCATCGTCAGTTGAGAGATTTCAAACGACCGAAGACGGTGCTAAGTTGTCACCGTCGACTTTAATTAACTGAAGTGGAAGAACACGTCCCTCGTAAGCGATGACGAAGGACATGTATCATTCCAAAAATTCCCAGCAGGAAAGGGAAGACGCCAAACCGCCATTAAAAGTCACATCCGGTCATTAGGTCAAAGCCAGGTAAAAGTCCACATCCGGGTAAAAATGTCACAATCGGGAATAAAAGTCACATCCGGGTAGAAAAAGTCACGATCGGTGGAAAAGTCACATCCGGTAAGAAGACCTCGAAGATTTATTTCTTCCAGAAGAAGAAAATCTTCTTCCACCAAGGCTTCTTTTTCCTCTTTTTCAGGATCGATTTACACTCCCCTTCGACTCCTTCCTCGCGTGCCTCTCTCTGCACCGACCATTCCGGAACTTCTGGATATCTCTGTTCCAGGTAGTCGATGACAGACGAGGTGCTCTCATCGGGAATGGTGACAATCACCCGTTTCTTGTCGGGTTCCTTCGCACCCTCCAGCACTTCTTTCGGACGCACGCGAATCACTCGAATCGAAGAGGACGACGATCCTGATGTCGAGGAGCTTTCCTCCGCACTCTCTCCTCCAGAGGTGTTCCAATTCTTTAGCGCTTTAAAATTATCCATCCTGCAAACAATAAAAACCGAGTATTAAATATTGTAGAACGAACGTTAAATTAAGAGAATATTAAAAAATCATAATGTAAATACGACAGAAAGTTTTAGAAAATGACCGTTTTAAGTATAAGAAAAATTCTAAACAAAAATGAATATAAAGTTGTAATGGAATATTCGTTGTGGCAAAATTATCGCTGCTAATTGTGATTTAGTACCTAGCAATGTTAAAAAATACCTAAATCTAGAACGATCAGGGACTAAACTTACTTAAAATAATCGCAAAAACTGCAGCAAAACTCCGAAAACACTCGAAACAAACGCATTCGAACAATGCAACAGACAATTGTCGAAATTCTATTGTTGCGTTGCGTCTCAGTTTAATGCTAAAAATTTCGATATTTTGACAGAATTTCGATTTCGAAGTGTCTTTCTATAGAAACGGACCATTTTGATTTTTGTCTGTAGTCTTTCACTCATGCCCATAGAGAAGAAGTGTAATCCATTTTGTTAGAGTTAGGATGTTCGAAGACGATCATAAACTAAATTGTATTTAATTTAGAATCTTTTGGAACTGTTGTTTTTATATTGTTAAACCTATTGCAGATCTATAAATGCCTGTCAGTCCTTCCTCAAAATAAAAACTTTAATATTTCGGAAAATTGATATAAAAATTTGTAATTGTCGCTTTTATTTCCCTGTAAGGTTAGATTCTATTAGAACATATTGCACTTAGATGGCTGTTTAGGTTGTCTGTAGGAGCCGACATCTCCGGAAGTACTACTGTTGTATCTCCAGGAAGCGCGAATAAACAGTAAATTGACGAAGAAAGAGATTCATACGTTCTTAATGACATAGGAGTGTGCAAGACAACCGACGATCGCTTTAATCGTCATGATTAAACAATAAACAACAGCAATTATAATAGCTTAGAGATTCATTATGTACTCTTTAAAGTATTGTTTTTATCCTAATAACTTATTTTCTAAAATTATTGTAAATGCATATTTAAAAAAATACAGCATTTTCTGTTTGTCTAGTTATGTTAAAAAATGACTATTAATCAGTTATAATCATTTGTTATAAATTTAGCCGATACTTAATAGCGAAAATAAGTTATTTGCTGATCTCTTGGTTTATACATAAACATTCATAGATTTCTCTGCTTTGCATAAATATGTTTGCACTTTACACTATTAGAATTTTATACAAGTT